TTTCTAATATTATTAGACAAATAAATAAATTATATTAAATTAGTTTAGAAACTTTATATATTTTAATTGCAAATATTTTACCAATTGCTTCTTTAAAAACATTAGGGAACTTGCTATACTCTACCAATCAAGTCCAGTGACACTCCATTTATTTTCCATCACTCGAACACTGAAAAGTAAAAAGATATATGAAATCAGAGCCATTAAATTCTAAGATTTACATTTCTAATTAAAATTGTTTTTGACATACGTATAGATAATTATATAAAAATTCCAAAATTCTAAAATTTCAAATACATACAAAAACAATCATATGTAAATTTTAAATTTGTGAATATTAAAATTTTATATTTTAATTACATATATTCACCCTGCGCAAGGCGCAGGTCTTATCCTAGTAGAGATTATAAAAGAGCGCCACGAATTATCGAACTTAATTTTTTTTTAATCAGGTAGTTAAGAGATTATTAGAAAATGAGTAAACAACCAATTTTTATTCTCTTAACAAATAGTCGGCTTAGACTTTACAATCACGGACGAACTGTTGCCCCAGTGGTCGGAGCAGCGAGCTTTCCTTGCATCCAAGTCTGAAGCATTTGCAAAGACGCCTTTGGCTGATCCATGGGAACCATGTGTCCAGCGTCATGAACCTATCCCAAAATTTAAGTTAGAAAATGTAAGAAGGATGAAGTCTATATATTTTCATTCATATTTACACTATTTGGTTCAGTGGCTTTATTCGGTTTACCTTCAAAAAAGTGAGAGGACCATGATTCTTCATTAAACCAGCTTCTTTACTATCTACCAGGAACGGTACTGTCTTGGATGCTCCAAAATCCTTTTGGCCTGACCAATTCATCTGCTCAACCCACCTTGAGTTACCTGTATATACCATGTAAATTAAATCATTCAATGGGACTCAGCTAAATGATACTTAAACCGGAAAAGATCAAATAATGAAACCGCACCCATAACCTTACCAAGCCAATTACAGATGAGATCATATTCTCCTGCATAGACAAGGACACTGATTCCATCTTCGACGAGAGCTGGAATCTTGACAGCAAGATTAATCATCCAATCATTCCGCATTTCATCATAAACTGAGGTACTACACGACACAAATTCGATGTCTCCAACTCCTAAAGCTTTGCGGACGTTTTCTTGGTTCAAGAATGTTTCCATCTTCGAAAAGTCATAGCACAAGCTTCCCACACATTTCTTCCTCAAGTCATAATACTTCAAAATAACCGGTAACATATTTGTAAAAAAAAAAAAAAAAACATAGAGAAATAGTTTAACTGGTGTGTTCTATATAATAACTACACTTACATTTGTGCCTTCTATTTTGCTCATTATCTGGTCGAAGATGTTGTTGCAAGTTTCGTAAGCAGAGCTACATTCTGCACCACCATTAAGGTCTGCAATTGATAAAAACAAGATTTTTCTTTTAGACTCAAAAAGTTTTTAATTATGAACCCGAATAAAAAAAAAATATTCAAAAGCAATATAGATTTTATGGAAATTACTGCATTGTTTGGCGGAACTTTGACAATCAACATAGTCTTGTTTGAGACTATCGTGATCAGACTCAGAGATCAACTTCATTTCCAGTGCATAATCCCCATATGCACCATATTGAATCTCCGGATTGGTTAAACCGTTCCCAATCGCAAAACCCTGATTGTAAACCGAGATTAGACCAGAAATGTGCTAAAGAAAACCAATGAAACACTCTACCTTAAGGTTGATTGGAACTCCTTCCTTATTCTTGTTTCCACTGTGAACTCTTGAAGCCAAAGCCGGGATGTAGTGACCAGCGTAAGATTCACCAGTAATATAGAAATCGTTCTTTGCATATTTTGGATGTTCTTTGAAAAAGGCCTATCAAAATTTTAAAAAATAAACCCTCACACCATTGAAACTTTAACAACAACCATTTTGCAATATTTAAACAACAATCAAACCTGTAAGAAATCGTAAAGATCATTGCTGACACCAGTCTCGTCGTGACGGAGATCACTAGTGTCCGAGGTGTAACTGAAACCGGTCCCGACCGGTTGGTCCACGTATAATAGATTGGATACCTATAAGAACAAAAGTAGTTGAGTAATAAGTATATTGTATAACAACATGTTTCTTGCGTAACAATAAGTTTTAGTTGAGTTATAGGAAGGATGTTGATTATAATATGTTTCTTGTGTTACAAGAAATACGCTTGTCCCATCTAAACTAAACCAACCAACAAACCTTGTCCCAACCAAAATCGTTCCAAGAAAGAGAGAGATCGTCCGATATTGTGAACGGACCGTTCTCATAGAACAAAGCCACACTGCTACTACAACCCGGTCCACCAGATAACCATATCACAACTGGATCGGTATTGTTGGTCCGTGACTCAAAGAAGAAATAGAACATCCTATAAGAAAAACACACATGCACACAAAAAACAAAACATAATCAATTGGTTTAGCCCAATTTTTATCGACCAAATAATAAACCGAAACCGATTAAAAAAATCCGGATTAAACCGGTTTAAAGTCTTACTTGGCTGATTTCGAATGAGGGAGGCTGTAGTAACCGGCATAGTGGCCAAACTCTTCGACAGAAGGACCACCTGAAGCGTTTCTTAAACCGATCATTTCCTGAAAATTGATTTGGCTTTCAACGAGTCGTGGTGCATCAAGGCTTCCCTTTGTGATGACATTAACGTCATGTTTTGGCATTAGGTTGAAGGATTTGATCAGCCTCTCTGCATGACCACTCGGAAACCTCGCCGAGGATGAGGAGTTGTTTAGGACTCTTGAAGAAGCTGAGTGAGAAAAATGAGAGAGGAGGAAGATAAAGAGGATGAAATGGAGAAGAGAGGTTTTCGCTTCCATTTTTTCTTTTTTATGATTTGTTAGAGAACTGAGGTTTTGGTGTGGAAAGAGAGGTATTTGTAGAGTTGGTATGGGATTTGTATTTAATTAAAACCAATTAGTCGTGTCAACGAAATATAAATGGAAGATATATTTCCAAAATGTTTCTATATTGTTTATAGGAGTAAATATTAGTTATGTTGTCTAGATATGTTTCCTAAGTTAGAAATATGGAATATTAAAAAAAGATATTTTAGTCTAATTTTATAAATCCACCAATATTTTTAAAACATTCAAAATAATAATATAATCAAGTGTAAAGTGTAAACCATTACTCAAGTTTCTAAGCCATCACCCCAAAAGTATTAGAAATTAACCTTTAAATATCATCAAAATGTTTATTGCCATAATAATTTATTTAAACCTTTTTAATATATATTGTTCTCAGAACCATCATTAATAATTTGTTGAATAAAATGCACATGGAAATTTTGACCAAAAAAATGCACATGGAAATTTTGACCAAAGATATGCATTAAGTCATTAAGAGTGAATTGTGAAAAAGCAGAAGATAATGTATTACTGGCTCGATGCATTGTTCTCAAAAAATAATCGTTTATTAGTCTATGCAAAGAGTCAATCCAACAAAGTTAAATTAAGATGGATGCATGCATGTACCTAACAAACCAGTAAAATCTCTCAAACACCATATGGTTATAATGCATTAACTTGTAAACCACACAATGAAGTAACTGATGTATAATAAAGGCGTAGACAATGTATCTAAACTGTAACGCCTGTTATATTTGTTTTACTCTAATTAACTCAAGACTGATGATGTATGACAGATGGTGAGTGATGTTATCTGTTAATGGCCAACTTTCGATCATACAGGTTTAGGTTTAGATGGTTCTTTGTAAACACAAGTGGAGTTTATAGCATTCGGATTGTTCACAAAAGGTGCCTTATATTTACATTGTATGCGGTAATTCAAGTACTGTACAAAATATTGGCTGCAACCTCCGTATATACTCATCACCTTTCAAGAGTAATCGTGTGTAAAGAGTCATGGGAATCAGTTAGGATCTAACTTAGCTAGCCGAGCTCCAATATCTTCCAGTTCTTCCTCATTATCAACACCTTCTACTGCCTCTTCCTGCAAAAAAACATAAAAAGTAGTATCAAACTTTGTTTTCTTTCTCTCACAATCGTATAATGCACTTTGATGGATGGGCTTTACCTCGAGGGAAGTGCTGGCCTTCTGCGCAGGTACTTTCATCCTTTCCTTCTTGACAGCTTCTGGGAGCTCAGCAGCGGTTTCTCCAGCAATAGCAGTCAATACTTTATCAACCTCATCGTCAATCTCTTCTTCCATATCCTCAGAATCTAGTGCATTGTCAATGGCATCACTCACAAACTCTTCAATAACTCCAGCCTTCATATCAAAAGCAACAATACTAACATGCTCAGACTAACATCAAATAGCAAAAAGTAATGTGAAGCTCAAAAGGTATGATCAAGTGAGTGGAGAAAGGAAACCGATAAAGAGACCTTAGTCATCTCTTTGCTGAACTCCTGCATAGTAGCTGCCATTTGTGGAGCCTTGATGAGATTATTGACAAGCTTCATAACTTCTGCACTCTTGGACAGAACCCCAACGGTTCCAGCAACAGCTAAAGACTCAACAGAAAAAAAAAGGAAGGATTCAAGTGAGTCACATAGCAAAAATAGTATGACAAAGTGATGAAAACTCTCAAAATCATGCCAATGAAAAAGCTTTAATATTGGCTTGAATACCAATACTCTCTCCTAGGTGCATTGATATAGAATTCAGCTGAGCCTTGTTTTCATATAACTTGTTCACTGTTCTTCTCGACCTCACAATCTCCTTAGCAAGCGTCTGTAACACCACAGAACCAAAAATCAGAGACTTATTGAAAAGAGCCAAAGTTTACATTTTTTTAATAAGACTACCTTAGCTGAGACCATATCATTCCGCTCAGCAGCTTCTTTAATAGCTTTCTGCACCGTTCTCTCTTCTTTTTGTATATCTGAAAAACCAAGAATCTCAAAATAAAAAAAAATAAAATCTCAAAATCAGAAATTTCTAAAACCATTATAGATTTGAACCCAACCCAACCAAACCCATCAATCTAACTTCGTCGAATTCGAAAACTTTCTTCATGAATCTCAAAAACCCTAAATTCACCGAGGGACGAAGAATCTCAAAATCGATGATTTTGATCCGATCCCAACCCGATTCAGAGTAATTTCTCGCAGTTTTGAGTGAAATAAACCAAACCCATGAACTTAATTTCGTCGAATTCAAAAACTTTTTTTTTCTTGAATCTAAAAAACCCTAAATTCACGGAGGAGGAAGAAGAAGAGATGTGATGAAAAAAAAAAACAGAACCTCGGATTTGGCGTTCGATGTCACGGCACTCCTGGCGAAGTTTGCGTTGCCAGTCACGTAAACGTTGCTTCGGATCAGGTTTTCGCTTTATCATCTTCATCAGTTTCTTCATTTTCTTGTTAAACCTTCGCTGCTCTGTTTTGAGAAGAGTTGAATAACGAACCAGTAACGAACTAACGACCCCTTCTCTCACTAGTCATAACCAACTCTCACTTAAATACATATTTTTTTTTAATATTTATTTATTTATCAAATAAGAGGTTTAGTTTGAAATTTTTATTTACTAGGCCAACTTTATATCTACTCATTTCAGTAATCGGCCCAGTCCAATCTTATTCAGATCTCTCAGAATTTTTTTTTCTTTTTTTTTTATCAGATTAAAACTGAGAAAATGGGAAAAGATCCCTCAATTTACACAGAAAAATAACTTTTAACTTTCGTTTAAACCATTTTAATATCTAAACTTTTAATTAAATTTCAACTTTGACTAACTAAACTATTTTAAATACTTGAAAGGTCAACATTAAATGGATTTTAGCAATTAATTGTTTATGTATTTGAAATGATTATATCAATATAAAATGAAGTTTGAAATACACTATTTTCAAAAGTTAAAGATTAAAATAACATAAATGGAAGTTCATATTTTTGTTTCGTTTTAAATTGAATATTGAGTTTTTAAAGGTTTTCTCGCTTTGAAACCACAAACATTTAATTGATCTTTACTTAGTTAGGAGTCATCCGGTTTGCTTGTATCTAAAGATCTAATATAACTAGAGTTTCTGTTTAAGTTGCTCAACAACATAAGTGTGTATCACATGTCAATGACCTTACCAAACAGAAAAGAAATAGTCTTCACATCATGGATGAATCTAAGGATTCCACATTTTGTAGATGAGACATGACATACACCAATCAATTTCTTCTTTGCTCTCTGATGAACAAGGCTGTATTTTAATGAGAAACTAAGTTTTCGAAAAAGTATTTTTTTTGAATGGATTAAGTTAAATTTACAAAAGAATACTCTTCTTGACGCCAAAAAAAAAAAAGAATACTCTTCTTAATTCCAATTAACTTTCGAATGACTATAGTGAAAAGCAAATTGGTAAAACTAAAAGTGAATTGCGTAGGCATCAAGAAACATTGACCTAAATCATAAGTTGTTGTTGTTGTATAACCAAAACAGAAGCTTGAGAATTAATATCATGTGAAGTCAATAGATCACCAATAACACCAAGCTCCTTAAACTCACTCCACTCCTCAAGCCCATCCGTGAACACACTCTTCCTCCCTTTCCCTCTTCCCACTACCAACATATCAAACTCACCCGCCAACGATTTCATCACACCCGGTGTCTCAGTAGCGTCTAAGACAGCCTTTTCAGCATATAAGATATCTACTGATGCGTTACTCTTCACGTCTCTAAGATGTTCATCGTCAAGCATTTTATCCCACTCCGACTTTTCCTTTACTTTATCATCGACAGTAACCATTCGTACCACGGTCAAATTAATCCTGGGGTCACGTGACATTCTTGTCGCAAGTGTTACTGCCTCTCTATCGTCTTTACCACCAAGAAAAATCATACATATTTTGTAAGATGACATGTTTAAAACCGTGTCATTGATGTTTCTCCGACCGTGACTGCTTTTATATACAAATATTCCGACAGAACATGGGGCCACTGAAAGAACGCTCTTGTTAAGGCTCCTGATCATGTTGCTGTCTGAAATGAGAACGGATCCGTCACCAGACCAAGTCTGGTGAAACGGAAGAAGTATAAGAGACGTAGTATTGTTTAACGCAAGCATGCATACGTCCCCATGCATCGTATCGGGCATAGATACGGCCGTGAAGGTGCTTACGGAGACCGAACCGTACAAATCTTTGCGGAACTTTTCAAAGGAGAGAATCACATTGTTTGAGAAAGACATCTCTTCTGTTTTGCATTTTTGTAACTTGTGGGAGATGAAGATGGGATTGGCTTGTCCCACGAGCTCCAGCAAGTGGAGAACGTAGGCTGCTACGGGAGATTCCCGGGACGGGCAAATGGCTTCGAGGAGGTTGATCATTGGGTTTATGTCATCGGTTCTGTAAATGCAAGATAAGATCCTCAGCTCGGAGTTTAGTTTCAGGTGCTGCACGTTCCGCTTCTCGTACCCTGCGTACATCCTCGATGGGTCGTATAAATACCTCAGGATCGGAGGTATGACTGCGGAGTTCAATGTTATGTAAAGACACGCCACGGTGAAGGTCTCAGGACGTACAGACTGCATTGTTCAAAACATAGACATGAGATATAGTTTATTTTTTATTATTTATAGTTTTAGATATAGTTTATAGTTTATATTATTATTATTTTTTTTAAAAAATAAAAGATATAGTTTATTTTTTTATATTAAAATGATTTTCGGACAAGGAGCCCATGGCCGGATTCGGCCAATCTCAAACATTGGTCTTGGTCTCCAAAATTTTTGTAAACTTTTTATATATGAGCAAGCTTCCAAATTTTGAAAAGAAAAATATAATTAAAAAAAAAATGTTTATGGTCTCTAAATTCTCAGATTCGATCTTTGCAGCGCCTAGACGGCAAATAAATATAGAAGAAACAGTTTAAAAAAAAAATTAGGCAGCTTTCAAAATAATTTTTAAAATAAGTGACTAATTTAGCGCCTAATTAGTGTTTATCTATTTTTTGAACATTGATTACGGTTGTGAAGGTATATATATATATATATGTATATGTGTGTGTGTCTAGTGTCTACATACCCCTCTTTGGAAGGCCAAGGCGTAGGCACCGAGCTCGAAGATGCCTTTAAAAGACATGATAAGAGATATGGCAAAGCAGTCTTCCATGGGCATACCATAGAACAAAGCAGGAATAGTGGTCAAGATGAACTTGACGACGAAAGATGTTACCATGATGTATATAATGCCATTGAGTGCATTCCAATCAAGTAAAGCCCAAATGTCAATCTCACTTGAAGATGATGCAACGAAAAACGGAAGAAAAGTGCCGAATATAGCTGCCTCGAACTTTTGAATGATGGCTGAGCCTAGAGGAGGGCCATGAGGAACAGCTAGACCTAAAATGAATGGTCCAATGAAAATAGACTGTTTGCACCAGTTGGCAAGTATGGCTGATCCAGAGACCATGACGATGATTGTAGCTAGGTAGATTGTCTTGACGGGCCGACCAGAAGGTGTTTTTCTAATAATGTAGAACATCAACGGTCTGAAAATATAGATGGCAACGCAAACAAAGAGAACAGCTACCCCTGCTCGCATCAAAGGACGGTTCCCAGCGATTACATCTCCTATAAACAAGCTTCCGAGCCGTGTTTGCTCGTCCTTGAGCTCCTTCATGAAGATGAGTGATGAAGTGATAACAGATGTGCTGAAGTCGCATATGACAGCAGAAGAGATGGCGAGACGACCTAGCTCTGAGTTCTGTAGCCTGAGCTCGAAGAGAAGGTTTCCAACGACAGGGAACGATGAAAGGCATTGTATCGAGTAAACCACAACCGTTTCCAAAGAATTAAGCGTATTATTATTATCCGATTTCTTGTTTTCCACGTCTTTCAAGTTTGCGAAAAAGATAACGAAACAAACAATAGTGGAGAGTAACACAGAGGAGAGACCAATGGTGATAGCTTTCCTCCCAGTGGTTCGGATCAAACCCATGTCCATTTTAACTCCCATCAAGAACCAGAACATCATGTAAGAGCAAGCGGAAACAAGACTAAACACAATCTCTTTGTAATCCTCTGAAGCAAAGAATCTCCTCGCAGCTGTATTCTCATTTATAAATGATTTGCTTAAAAGCACACCAGTCTGCAAAAAAAATCCAAAAATATAATAATAAACCTCAAATTCAAAATCAACATAAATCATATGAAGAAATAACTCAGTTTTTTTTTTATCCACTCAGTAATAAACTAATAACTCTGTTTAGAGAGAGATAATTTTAATAAACTCACAAGCATATGGGACGTGAAACGTATCATGCCGAGACGCTTGAGAAAGAAGTGCAAGAATTGCCATAGGAAAGAAATGACGAGAAATATTAACTGTAAGTGTGGAAACGCATGGTTCCAGAAATGAACGTTTATATTAGGATCTGTGAAGTTAGGAGCAGGCCAAACGCCATTGGAGCTAGGGTCGAGGGGCGTGACGTCGCAGATCATGTTTGATTCTCTCCATGTGTCTCTCAGGTAAAGCATCTTATCATCATCTCCAAACTCCATTGATGACAACCTTCAATGAAGACAAAGAAGAATCCGACGAAAAAAAAAAAAAAAAAGAAACAGAACAAGAAATGATTGCATGAACAATTTTTGTTTTAAACGGAGAAACGATTATAAAGATTTGTATTTCGTACAAGTTTATTTAGTTTTTACTGTTGGGTACCAGAAACGATATGGGAACAAAAGAAATTTCATGTGGGTTTTACAAAAAGATAAGAATAGTAAATTTGTGAATGGGCAAAGAACTAACCAGAAACAAGATTAATAAAGATTCTGTACTGTTATGTTAGGTTATTTTACAGGTTTACACAACTTAATTGTAACTTTTTCACCTGTGTTTAACCCCCACCTAAGAATAGTAAATTTATGAATATGAAAAGAAAAAAAAACTGATCAAAAACAGGATTAATATGATTCTGCTTACTGTTAAGATTTAACAGTTCTACACAACTTAAATCTGTTAATTTACGAGAGACAATACCAAAATGAGAAAGAAGAAAAATAGAACAATGATCGTTTCAGTCCACTTAAGATAAACGGTGAAATTTTGTGGATTAATATGAATAAACGTTCCTTAAAAATTTCACAAAATAATCCATTGTTAAAAGGCTCATGTTTGATCCTAGAAAAAACATAATAGTTGCTTTGATGGGCAACATATCCTACTTTTTTCTAAAAAAAAAACATATCTTGCTTTTATTTGTGTTGCTTTTTGTTCCACTACATGTGTTCTTATTTTTGACAACACATTTGTTCTTTCATTCTCACAACTAGAGAGACCAATCTAGTCCATCAGATATTTCTTATATGTTGATTAATCATTACTAAACTAGTTTAATCTTTTTTCATTTATTTTTGTTTGCTAAGAAACTAGTAATAAAATTAAGGTTGTAGAGCATTTCAAACGTTCAAACTCGTAATTCATACGAAATGATTTTAATTTTATTAAAAGTAAGGATGATTCATGGCATTTGGAATATGAACATCATTCTACTCCTACTAATTATTTGCCAATCTGACTAGATCAACGCTGATTTTTCTAACAAAATAAAATATAGTTTAAGTTGGTCACATCTTTATGCGTCATTTCAGTTCTAGTATCAAGAAATCAATAAAACAAATTAACGAAATCTTCGAAAAGAGCATTATTCCACAAATAATTGCGTTGATGCGACAATAATGAAGTAGCGTATTATTTTATTAAAACAATTGCGTTGACACTACATTATTCAACAAATAATTAACGTAAAGCTAGCAAAAAGATCACTAATCTTCCATCCACTTTATATAAATTCCGATTATCCATTTTATATAGAACATATTACAAAGTTACTTCATTTAGTATATAGGACGAATACGGTTGGCCAAGACTATTTTTTAAAAGTTGCAAGTTGCAACGCATGCAGATTGCCACATTGTTAACTTGTTAATGTTCCTTGCAAGATCCAGTTATATAAGCACGCCTTTACATGTGTGCATGTAAGCAAATACGAGGAATGCATGTTGTAGCATTTTAAAGCATTGTTTATACATGTGACATAAGATAGTATGTAAGATTCACCGCTATGTAAACTTCACCGTTAATTAAATGAATATGTATTCAAATAATAGCTGACATAAGATGGTATGTAATCTTCACCGTTCTGTAAACACCGTCATATGAACGTATTTTAAAATGATACGTAAAGAATAGGCCATGAAAAACTCTAAAACTTGACTTATGTTAGTTACTTTGGATTTAATTAAAATAGAATTGACATTCTTAGTTTACTTTATGATATAGCTGACAAAGTATTAGTAGGTTTATGTGAGGGAGGTGTTAATTGCTTTCTCTACTCTAATTGTGATTTCCTTGTTAGTCACATCACAAATCTTTAGTAATCCAATTCTTAATTCATATATATGACAAGTGCGGTTTCAAGGGGAAAAACATCATTCGTGACTTCATTTCATATATTGTGAAATTGTATTATGTCATAATTACTGTCTATAGAATTATTCACAACATAATTCCAAATATCCTCAGGTATTAACTAGTGATTTTAGTCTTAATGGATCGATATAAGAAAATATATAGACGACAATCTTCTTTTTTTCACAAATCATCATATAGACTATATTTAAACGCTTAAATATCCAATTTAAATAAAATGTAGAACAATTAAACCGCTGTTATAATACTGCATGTTTTTTATCGATCAACGGACGTCTATATCCAACTTTGAACTCATCTATGAAATGCAAGGCTCAAAGTATCGTCAGGTTCAAATAGATTGAGCTTAGCCGCATTATAATTGCCGATTTCTCCTTGTATTTTTATTAGTGTTTCTATTAGATTAGCAGAATTTGTTTATAATATTGAGAAGCATGACGCTTTCTCCTTGTAGTTTTTTTTAATATTAGCTGTTTTTTTTTTTGTGTTGGAATTTTGATGAACGATACCAAAATAAAACAAAATAAAATATATGTAGATGTGACATGTATTGGTTTGTGGCGTGAAATGTACGTCACAACTCGCAAATATTTTACATCGTTGAGGCCTAGATGGTAGGGTGTCTTATTCAACAATCCATCCCTCTAGAAGGGCATCCATATATATATATAAAACAAATACACCACAAAGAATTTAAAGAGGCGACAAAATCAAAAGAACAAATAAAGAATAAAACTCAAGTTGATTAGATTCTTGTTATACACAAATGAATCAAGAAGATCATATGAATCAAGGAGAGCATATTATGAACAATGGAGAAAGCTCAATGCCTTGCTTCTCCGAGAGGACCATTACGTCCTCAAATCATCTCTATCCCATGACGGCCGCGACAAAATCATCTGAAGAGGACCACAACATTTCGCTCTCTCTTCTACTCAATCTCTCGTCAGCTTTTTCATGATCTCAAATAATAACAATAACCAATCCATTGAGTCAGCTTCCTCCTTGGCCGTGGCTAACATCGAAACCTTGGTTCAAGAGATCGTCACGGCTGCTACTTCAATGATGCTCACTTGCCAACAACGCCACATGTCATCTAACAGCAACAGTAATTTCCATAACGAACAAACCGTTGATGCAATAGTTATGGAGTATTCCCCACAACAAGATACCGAACCGGACCATGACTTCACGCCAGAGTCGTCAACCAACTTTCTTGGCGTCCAAGAAAGAGGGCAAATTTCGTTTCTTGACCAGAATCTTGACTGGCACGGCACACAAACCGTAAACCCTAAAAAAGATAATCATCGTTCTAAAACAAGATCCGGGAACTATGAGATATTGGAGCTAGCCGCAGATGATCTACTCGCGAAATTCACGCATTACTGCCAGATCTGCGGGAAAGGGTTTAAGAGAGACGCGAATCTTAGGATGCACATGAGAGCACACGGAGACGAGTACAAGACACGTGAGGCCTTGATCAGCCCCACGAGCCAGGAAAAGAAAGTCGAATACTCGTTGATGAAACATTACTACTCGTGCCCTCAACAAGGGTGTAGATGGAACCAGAGGCACGAGAAGTTTCAGCCCTTGAAATCTGTGATTTGCGCCAAGAATCATTACAAAAGAAGTCATTGTCCGAAAATGTATATGTGCAGGAGATGTAACGTGAAACATTTCTCGGTTCTGTCTGATCTTAGGACGCACGAGAAGCATTGTGGGGATATCAAGTGGGTTTGCTCTTGTGGGACTACGTTCTCTAGGAAAGACAAGCTTGTGAGCCATGTTTCTTTATTCGTGGGCCACTCACCAGTCGATGGACCGGGCCAGCAGCAACCTCCGATGATCACTCTATAAGTAACATCAAGGCCGAAGTTGAGTTTTAAAGATTTATTAGCGCTAATTAATGTTGCAAACGATTCTGATTATGATACTGCATTTTGGATATGTTAAAAAAATTGAGGTAGTTTTTCATTATACTTATACTAAGTTATGGGTAATAATTTTGGTGGATTAATGCATCTTCTGATTTCTGAATAATAGTTACAATTTTGAGAAACCAACAGATTACGGTGTTGAGAAAACAATGTTAAAATGGCTAATCTAACTTCAAACTAGCAATTTAGCATCTTATAGTATTATATTTGACCTATTATTCTGATTGGTGTCCTTAGATGGTGGCAACGTTAAAGATTGGTGTCCTTAGATGGTGGCACATAAGCAGCACTTCTCATCCGTTGTGATTTGAATTATTTATTTCTGAAAAAAACATTTTCAACGGTTCATTCATCTGATATACATCTTTTTTTTCGTTATCAATTCATATACATCTACACTTGAGACTAACCTACTTGACAATGATAATTAAATATTTTAAATAAAAGAAGTATAGAAAAAAAAATGGAAAGGAAACAGCATGTTTTAGATGAAGGATCACAATATATAGAGATTCTAAAATGATCTCACACTGAAAACTCATGTTTACAGTTTGTGTAGCCATTGTCTTTGACTTGATAGCATCATTTCTTAGGGTAAGTTCGATGGTCAGGACCAACATCGCGTGAACCCGTGATTATGTAAGGTCCTCTAAACGTTGCTTGAGGAGCAGAGGAGGTAACGGTTTTTTTGGATCAATCACTGGTTGCTTGGACGATCTGCGATCAAATGAGACAAGTAAAACAATACACCACAAGATGAGAAAAGTTGTATATAAACAGTAGATAAAGAAAAGGGTTCTTCCGCCATGTAAAAGGGGAAAGCTAAGCCTGCAGTGGCGAAAACTACCAGACCAGTGGCTACAATGATGTTACGCGATGGTGCCATTGCAACTAGCCTTTAGCAAATAGTCTCTATAGAAAAAACGGTATACAAACACCGTGTCGCGGAGCTCTATGGAACCAGGCGATTTGCACGTGACACTCTGAAAATTTGGTGTTGGGCCTATTCCGTTAACTTTGTATCCAAATTTGTTTGTTTTGTTATTGGGCTTAATTGGGTCTATTCCGTTAACAGTGTATTTAGATTGATACTGAGTTCATTATTATCCGAAATAAACTCTCTGAACAGAGAAAATTAAAGTATGTTTCATTTTTTTTTGGACAAAAATTAAAGTATGTTTCTCTAATTTTCCCTTTAGCTTAAAAATAAGATTATATCCAAATGTAAAAGGAAAATCAATAAAGGTTCCTTTACACTGTACAATTGATAAGTTAATAACACACTCACCATTACATTACAAGGAAAAAACGCAATTTAGAGTTTTTGTTAGAAAATGTTTATAAAATGTACATATAGTATTTACATTCATAAGAAATTATTACATTATATATTATAAACCATTAAGGTATACACTTTGTTCTCAACTATTTTCTTTCTTTTGGTAGGGCATGAATATATACAAATCTTAACTAGCTTTAAAACATTATACTGTTAAAAGCAAAGTATAAAGGAACAAAACGTTTTAAAGCTGTAAATTAATAAACAACAGAACTCATTATCTACTGATGAAGCAAAGAACATAAGAATCCAACGTACTTTCCAGGTTTCTTGCATGACAAGTATCTACTCTATATATACAAACATACAAATAAGCCAAATCCCTTAGCTAGAAGTACGTAGACCCAATGCCGACTACAGCTTCTCCGAATCACCCACTGCGTCGCCGGTCCCTTGTCTGCTACGTTTTCCTCGTCATACTAACCCTAATCTTCATCCTTGCTGTAGGTTTTCTCATTACATGGCTTGTAACCAAACCCAAAAAGCTTAAGTACAGTCTCCAAAATGCCTCAGTCCAGAATTTTCATCTCACGGACGACAACCACATGTCCGCTACGTTCAAACTAACCATCCAGTCTCATAACCCTAACCACAGAATATCGGTCTACTACAACTCCGTCGAGATATACGTGAAGTTCAAGGACCAGACGCTTGCGTTCGACACGATGGAGCCGTTTCACCAACCGCGGATGAACGTAATGCAAATTGATGACACTTTGGTTGCACAGAACGTCGCCGTTTCTAAATCCAATGGTAAGGATTTAAGGGATCAACATTCCTTGGGGAAGATCGAGCTTGAAGTGTATGTTAGGGCGAAGGTTAGGTTTAAAGTTGCGGTATGGAAATCATCACATCGAACGGCTCATATTAAGTGTTCTCATGCCACGGTCTATTTGTCGCAGCCAAACCAATCGCTTAATAGTTCATGTGAAGCTGATATTTGATTTGCAAGTTTGTATTGTCACATTAATAATTTTCTTGTAATCGTTGATATTCATTTCCCTCCCATTGTGTATGACTTTTATCGCAATGGCTTACTTCAAACACGAATAAGATCTAAATTGTTATAAGGGATGTGATGTGATTAGGAAAATAAAACAAAAACGCAAGTAACGGATTTATGTAGTTCACCAATGGGACATTGGCTACGTCCCTGCAAAAGAGGCCAATTTATCTATAGACCGAGACATACCTGTGCAATGAAGGTGGTGAGAAAATACCCCATTTTACACGTTTTTAAAGGACCATTTTAGTTTGTAACAGTATCATACAAAAATAAAAGTCACAAGCCCAAGCTTGATGTGTCTGAACCAGGGCCATCGCACGTGCACATGGCCGGTTTAATACTATTATGGATTCTAGGGCAAAAAAAAAATTTGTTTAATATTTTCTATATTTTTTTGTTTTTAAAATTTAAACATTAATATTTTGTGATGAAAAAATTATATAGACATAAAAAAATTTGGAACCTTTTTAAAATTTATATACTAAAATTTTAAAATTTTCTATATATAAATATGTATTTATTAAAAATTTGGACCTCTTAACTATTAATATATGGGGGAACATGGATTTAGATCCGGGCGATCGCACTGTTTGTCCCTCAAGATCCTGCACGTGCAACTGGAATGGTCAAGGGACCCAAATACTAAAAGTTTAAAAGTTAAGTTTTTTTTTAAATATAAAATAAGTTATGGTAAACAAATTGATTTTTTAGATATATGACTAAATTAGAGTATATAATTTCAAAACAAACATCAATATGAATTATTAAATTTTTAAATCATTTCATTGGATCAGTAATATACTATTCATATTATTTTTTTGAACCGAATATAAAAATAACTTGACACGGCCCTGATCTGAACTAAGGGCTAACTATAGGTCCGGCCTAGTGAAAGAATATCATTATCATGGGAAGTGTATTGAACTGTAATGTAAACGAGTGTTAAAGAAAATAGGTTGCATCCACTAGAAGTAAAGATGGGGTATATATTCCACACCCTTAATGTCTTCACGCGCATAATAATCATCACAAAGTCGAAGATATATGGTTGAATATTTCATTATCTTAAAGTGTATCGTTTGGACAATCATCTTCGATGTCCAGCAATATAAAAGGGATCGACAAGAATTTGGGCAACATCTTGACAACTTGGCCAGGGCTGAACTTGGCTAAGGGTAACTTCTCCTTCTCAAGACTGTTTCCTTTTTTTTGATCTGTAATTTATTTGCTGCCAAGGACACATGTAAGATCTTCGGTAAAACAAAAAATTTTCAGTCAGTAGTAGTCTTTTAAAATGGACTGGATATGAAAATCCCTTTGATTATAGCTTTATCCGTTAATCCGTCTGTGGACTAATTTGTCTAATTTATGTTTACTTGGAGAACTTTTTATTCTATCTAAGTTTTTTGGTGAACACAAAATTTGTTGTTAACCTTAATAAATTAAACAACATTAAAATCATGGACATTAAGACCTCAAGATGATGTCATATACGCAATCATGGGCTTTCGACATTAATTTTCAACCTTTCAATTTATACATTACTAGGTGATCTTCCCGTGTTCATACACGGGCATAAATATTTATAAAATAAAAACTAATTTATATAATTTACATTAATAATATTATATTACTTTAATTATATATATATGATTTTAGATATGTTATATTTAGTCGATTTTTTTATTTTTATAGTCGATTTAACATTACATATTGGACTCCATCTATTTCTCTGAATTCAACTATAAAATTTTATTTTATTTTAAATATATTAAGTTGTTAGTTGTCTTAAAAATATTTCAATAATACTAATTGTAATTATTATTTTTTCTGTTAATTACACATATATCAGTTTATGTTGCTTTCTTATTTTATGTAACTAAGAAAATAGATAGATATATAAAAACAAATTTTATTACTTTGAAAATATATATATTTTATTGTTTATAATTATTTTTGTAAAGAAAAAATATTTTTTTTCTAATATCATGAAGATTATATGTGTGATTGTTTTTTTATGAAATCACATTATCTACAAATATTTTTTTATCTAAGAAGATATAGATTTAAGGAAAGTATTTTATTACTTTAAAATTATATTTTATGTTATTTAAAATTTATTTTAATTAAATATTACTATTTTGTGAACTTTCTATTTTTTATGAAACCATATTTATATATACTGTACTTATATTTTTGTTTTTAAATAGTTTTGTAAACTTTATACATGTTTCCTTTTTATTTTATATTGTTATTTGGAAAAAAATTATAAGAAAATAATATAAATATACTTTTTAATTCATTAGGGGTATCATAGTAATCAACTATCGTGAGAGTTAACGTGAAAGCGACACATAAAAAAGTGACTTCTCAAATAATATTATAGAGATCCCAAAACTTTTGAGCTGTTGAAAATATCTTATGTATATTTTTTCTTCGGGCATCTATTAATTATTTTCTGATTTAAATTAGCTTCTAAACTTCTTCACGCCAGAACAATATTCAGAGAACATAAAAGTCTATATGATTGAATGGAGTGCAACATATAAATATATAATCATAGTCATAGTCTTAGCTAAGAATTAACATCCTGTAATTAAAAGTATTAATCATAATATCAAAATAACTATTGATAAAAGTCGATTTGATCTTAGGTCAAAATTCATGAATACAGGATAAGAAAAGTAGCTCATACCGATTGAAAGTGTTGGCATGAAAGAGACATAAAATAAGATGTGAACGCATACTAGATAGTCTGAACCTTATGAAAGAATAAAATTACCATGTGAAGAACTTTATCAAGTAATATACTTTTCAATAGAATTTTGGTCAAAATTAATGGTTGAAAAATAGGTCACACACATTACAAGCAAAGATGTTGGGTCCTCAAACACACTCGTTAGAAACTGTACCCACGCAAATAAAAATCATAACTATGATTGAGTGTTTGATTACTTTTAGTTTTAGCAACAGCATATATGTTGTATATGAGTGCATTAGGAATGTTGCCCAAAAAAAAAAAAAAAGAGTGCATTAGGAATATATTCACTTTAATTTATCTAGCATACGGGTTGATGAATGTCATGGTCGGAAACTAACACCACAGAATACTGGTTTATTACAAGACTGATTTCTTCACTTTGATTCCTTGGTATTCACACTGTCGCTTAGTTAATTTCTTTTTGATGCGTAGTCGCTTAGTTATTAGTTTGCTGTTGTAAAAAAAAAAAGTTATTTGTTTACTTAATAAAGTATCACCCATTATAAAAGGTCTTGGCCAAAGCACCAATGTATGATGATGATATGGTGTGTATAAACTGTACATAAGAGAAATAAAGAAACGGTAGCAGATTCATGAAGCAAGCATGTACATTTGTGGTGCCAAAAGCCAAATTTGGATGAACATATGCACGCACGCGCAACCTTTACCAGCATGACAAATACAATTTCAATATATGCAGTGTAACTTTTTGAGTTACTTGAATGCAACACCGTTTTCTAATATATAAAACTATTTATGACACCATTATTAACATTTACTGCTACACGGATGACATTCAGAAAGTTAGAAATTAGGCGGCAATAAAAACATCTTCAAATAAAGTTCAATTTCTCTTCCAAAATGGATTAACTCCATAACACTATAACATAATTGGTTTTACTCCGAGTATACTCTATTTTAGAACAAAAATAAGATAGTGAAGAGAAATAAAAATATTACTCCATTTAGAGAGTAAAAAACAAAAATATTACTACATTTATGGAATAAATTCATTTTTACTTCATTGTAAAGTGAACAATGGAGTGGAATTATTATTTTTATTTTTTTATTCTAAACTCTATTTTAGAAAGTTTTAAAAAAAAGTTTTTCAAAAAAAAACAACTATATTTCAGAGTAAAATATGGAGTGAGATTGAAGATGTTTTAACAAGTGAAAGTGATAAATTTTAAATAGTTATATACAATATAAAATACAAAAACATACGAAAAAATTACAAATGTCCAACCAAAAAGAATTTATCATATGTTAAAAAAATAATATGCTCCATATGTAGTCAATACTGTAATAGAAATAAAAATGAAGTTAACAAATGCATCTTGCTAGTGGTTGAGAATATTCCGTAGGAACATCAGCAACGAGAGCACCATTGTTAGAGGTCATTGTCATTTTCGGACAAATCAAAGAAAGTGTTTGTTAATAATTGACCTACATTTTAGCAAGTATAAACAAACAAAAGCTTGTGAAGTTTCTAAATAACAAAAATTGTGGCTAGTTAGCCAGAAATTGGCTTCATCACATAATGTCAATGTTTTGTTTGCCACAAAAAACATCATGGCCAGGCTATGGCTAAGAAGAAGGAATTGACTAGTTTTGAATTGTTGGTTCTTTGTCACTAATTAGCCATATATTCTTTGCCCCAAGATTGAGTAGAAAACAAATTTGTAGTCCACTGTGACAAATTTGTGGTTAATTTATAGTCACAGAGTTATCTTTGACCAAGCCATAGTTAAAAGATAGATTTTTGTAGTGCAAACATAAAAATGAATAACGTTTATATTTTTTTTTTTTTTTTTTTTTTTGAAACTTAATAACGTTTATATATATAAGCATTATACGTATACAAACATATTTGAATTATATATAGAAAACAACTCGCACGATAAAAGGCATTATACTTTTTGATATCTATATAAAGGCTTTATTGCATGAGCTTACGAAGCCAACCTAGAGATCATTAATATAAACCACACTAAAGTTACTAGGACTAAACAAAACACTTAAACATGTCTCTTCCGTTTGTAACTCTCCTTCTATTGATATTCTCAACATCGTCATCTTATTTCATCTCTCTTGCACACTCCAAGATCCCTCGACTTGGGATTTCCCCAAAAATGCTAAAGAATACACCTGATTCACCGACCCAAAATCTAAACGACTCTGATCTAAAAATGTTCTACTTTAATCAAAATCTCGACCACTTCACATTCACACCAAAAAGCTACATGACATTTCAACAAAGATACGCTATAGATTCCAAACACTGGGCTGGTGCTAAAGCCAATGCA